TTTTCATAGTTCCTCGATTCTTCTAAGAAGGTAATTGACTGTTGCTGAGTTTTTTTTCTAGGGTCTTTTTGGTACCCTAGATTTTATCTCTGTATTGAGAGGTTGTTTCACATATGAATATACCCGTGTTATAGGTGTTTTCTCGGAGGCCAGTAACCCAAACACTATTCTGAGTTTTACCTGCATATCTGTAGCAATGTGTTTGCCAATTTTGTTGGTTCATTAATCATGAGTTTACTAGTTTTGGCACCACCTGGAGTTCATCTATTTTTTGTTTTGTTTTGTATGGACCAAATTTGAGATGAAGGAATCTAATCTTGTTATTCCAATTATAGGTTCTCGTCTAGATAGACTTGCAAATCCTCCTCTGGCCAGTTGGTCTGCTTGTTCATACCTGCAATTCCTTTGTAACCTGGCACCCAAGATTATGTATGTTATGATTGTTTTTTTTTTTTTTTTTTTTTTTTTTTTTTTTGACGGGCTTCCGACATCTACGTCATTTCAGCCCCCAACTATGACTATATTCTATTTACCCTTTCAAACACTACATTCATACAAATAAATACATTCATACACATAAATACATCCATACAATACACTCATTCCGTTTGGTCGGTGGAGTACTTGATATTCCTACACCAACCCTATATTCACACTGATCTAGATTGGGGTCGATAGAGTACTTTTATAAATATTCTGCCATCGACCCCGAACACACACTCTTACGCTCTCATCGTTATGTTATGACAGAATCAGTATATCATTTCAATAATTGAAAAAGATGTTTTGGGATAATTGTTTTCATTGTATTAATAATAAATAATTATCATTTTCCATTATCCTTGTCTGCCTGTAATTGTGGAGTTTAAATGTTTTTGTTTTGGATAGAGAGCTTTGAAAATTTATCTGAGGACTTTTGAATGAAGGATTTGTTTGTTTGGTTAGGTTGAATTTTGGACAAATTAGGTTAGGTAAGATAAACGTTAGGGGTGGTAAAAGCTAGGTTATTATGAAATGTTTGTGATAGAATCAGTATCCACAGAAAAGGGACTAGGCCAGCACAGTTCAATTTTGGGTTTTAGTCCATTTGTATACTTCGTACATTAATTCAACACGGCAGTTCAGTTCTTTTTCGGATCAGGGATATGCATGGATTCAGTTTATTTCATCCAGTTCGCAGTTCAATTGTGTACTTAGTCAATTTTTAACTTTACTTGCTTCTTACTTTTATCGTTTTACCTTTATTAATTCATTGTAGTAAATAGAAAAAATACAATTTTTATAATATAAATAAAAATTTATAAATTATGCTCATTAAATTTGTTTGAATACCCGCTACAGTTTTTTAAGCCTTATCCATGTTTTAGAAATTTGTTTTTAAAAATTATTATAATACTGTTCTTCTCTCTCTCTCTCTTTCTCTCACTCACTCTCTCTCTTTTGGCCTTAACCATTTTCATTTATACTAACCATGAAAATTTTGAAAATGTAGACCTAACAAAAACACGTTAAACAATAACTCCCATTCAAATGTACAAAGTCCAGGGACGACTGAGCAGATGAGGTTAGGTAAGATAAGCATTATGGGTGGTTAAAGTTAGGCACGTGATTAATAATAAATACTTGTTTTTTTTTCCATTATCCTTATCTGCCTGTAATCATGGAGTTTAAACATTTTTCCTTTGGATGGATAGCTTTGAAAATTTGTCTGAGTACTTTTGAATGAAGGAATTATTTGTTGGTTTAAGATTAATTTGCAACAGAATAGGTTAGGTAAGATAAGTGTTAGGGGTGGTTAAAGCTAGGCTGGGTTATTATAAAATGGTTACAACAGAATCAGTATATCAATTCAATACTTGCAAAGGATGTATAGGATAATTGGAGGTTTCCGTGTATTAATAGCAAATAGTTGTCATATCAGAATCCTCATCTGCCTGCAATAATGAAATTTACATTTTTTTCAAACACTAATTTGATCTTTTTTAAACAATGTTTCCAACAAAAAATCCAGAAGTTTTAATAAAGTAAAGTAAGCCTGTAAATTTTAAGATAATTTTGTTAAAAGTAAAATCACTGTTATTGACACATAAGGATTTATTCATGAGGAAAGTAATTTTTTTTTACAGAATGTAATACACAAGTAAAGTTTTTAGTGCTGAAAAACTAGAGAAAATACTGGTAAACATTAGATTTACAAAATAATGTAATTATTTAACTTAAAACTACTAGTTTCAATTAAATTTAAAAAAAAGTTTCTGAAAGGAAATATTGATTATGTAAAATATTTTATCCTTATTAACAATATGTATATTAGAAAATTAGAACACAATATTACTTTATTTATTTAGCTTTTTATTATATTCACCTAGTGTCCTTGTAATTATTTATTTAGCAATAGTTTTCATTTTTTGTTTTGTTCATTGCATATTTATACCATTTCTTTCATCCATTTTTTTTCTTTTCCTGTACACCTAGTTCTGGAATTAAACTGAAATAAAGCAGTTTTCAACAATGAAAAAAGGAAGTATTTTTATTTAAAAAAAAAATTAAATAAATAATTTTATAACTAGAAAAAAATAGCAAGCTGTGGTTTCAATAACCGAGGTTGGCCAATTTTTTTATATTTTTTTTAATACTAAAACTATACCTAGCGCTAAAAACATGATTTGATTTTTGGAAGGTAAGGGTCAAGGCCCCATTTTTGGGACATCTACATTACATTTAATACCTCATTTCATCACGAATAAAATAAACTTATACATAAAGTCAATTAGCGCACAATATTTGATGTGTTCTAATTTCCCAATCTTTTTTTTTCTTCTATATAAATCCACCAGAACGATCCTTACACTAAACACTGACATTACCCGCTTTTTATAAAACATTTCATAACAGGTCTAATGGCACATCATTAAGAGAACAAAGCATGTTATTTAAAAGAATATTTGTTTTAAATTTTGTTAATCCTTTAATAATTTTTTTTTTGTAATTAAAAAAATTAACTTTTAGAAATTGAAATATTTATATTTATTTTTTTTAATTGTTCGAAGTTTAAACATTTTTGCATTTTTTTTAAACAAAAAATATACAAGTAACATTTCAAATCAGTGTCTAACGATGTTAAACACATCTCTCTATAATTAAATGATAATGCCTATTTTAAAATTATGATATATAAAAATATTGTGCATAAATAACATATTTTTGTAAATTTTCAATTTATTCAACAACTGTGTCTAAAAACACGATCATCACAACACCTAATAAGTTAGGTTCACATTTGGGTTTAAACATTTATTTTTTAGTATAGCGTGTCGAATGAGAACACCATATACTCCTGAATCAGTTACAAGTATCAATAACCTGAGTTTTATAAAGCAAATATTTGTTTATAATGGTTAATAATGTACATAAGCTCTTTTATAAATAATAAAGTCACATATTTTGTATTCTTCCATTTTGAAACTATATAATTTTATTTACAAATGAACAAATAACTTGTGATTAAATATTAAAAAAAAATATTTTGAACAAAACAACAATATAACAATTGAAAAAGAAAAATCCATATATTTTTTAAAGAATAACACAAACAGGCTTCACTACACCAGAATATTCTTTGTGACTAGAAAGAGATTTAAGCATTTAATAGTTATTCTAAATGCTTCATGTTCAGTGAAACTGTATGGCATTTATTACAGAAATGACCAGTTTTTCCCTTTTTCTAAATGATATTTAGATTATACAAATACATTGGACCCACTTCATCTTCACTTTGGAATAGATCTCTTCTATTAGCCTTAACACTAATATCATACAATGAAGATTATGCAGTAATACAACACAATGGTAAAACTGAATTGATTTTGAACCACCCTGGCCTTCCAGTTGTGAAAAAAAATTATGGCTTACTTCTAACAGGTGTTTTTCATTGCTACTCACACGGAAACATTTTTCAAGGGGATGAAACACAAAAGGAATTGATAGAAATCAAAAATCGTTAAATTACATGCAAAGTTTGCACAAAAAAAGTAACATCTAAACATCGGATTCAATGGAATATATTGATTGTCACAATTTTTTGAAAAAAAAATTATGTAATTTTTTAGACTTGAAATTCATCTAAAGTAAATCGACTGTAAAACAACTCTTAAAAGACTCATAAACATCAAAGTTGGCGATCATAAATATTAGGCTTAATCACAGGAAACATTAAACATGTTTACAAAACACTGTTACGAATATGCCCAATCATTGAGCTTAAATTTATCTTTCTACACTACCACAGACTACAAAAACACCATATCTTTTAAGGGTGAAGAACAATTTTTCTTTTATTAACATTACAAGCTAATAATACTTGTACAGGGGGGCAAAGGTTAATCAATACTCCAACATGACTATTTTTTTTCTTCTTTTTTTTATATGTTACTCTTTTGAATTGAAGAAATTTTTAGCATTTGTTTATTTTATTTACGCAATTGCAAACAGAAAAATAACATCATTATTCTTTGTCTCCCATCATGCCAAGTGAAAATTTTACAATTATTTATAAACTGTGTACATTTAAAAATTCTTCTACACTGATTAAATAAAATATAATTATAATCAATTAACAATATAAGAAAGATACAACGGACAAAGATAATGATGGGTCATTGCACAGTAACATATGTCATAAAAACATACTGCAAACTTATTTTTTATCTCTCACAATTAAGGGTATCAATAGAGCGTACAGTTTACAACCGATAACATTGACCTACTTGTAATAATACATTTTATGCATTCAAAAATTTCATTTTAACTTAAATAATACTTCTAAATTAAATAATAACAAATGATAAAATAAATAACAAGGGGTTCTTAACACGTTAAGGTGGTGGCAAAAAAAAAAAAAAAAAAATGATTAGTCACTATACATATATTACATCTATACATATTTATAACATTGTTTTCATTGACCAGGGTATTAAAAAAAAAAGAAAAAAAAGGAAGAATCCATGACAACAATATTTTATATTTTTATTCATTTCACATTTGGCAAATGCTCAAAAATTGTGTATTAACATTACTAAACGCAAAATTAAATTGTAAAACATATTTTGGACCGCTTGGATTGAATTTTGACTCAGAAAAAATCATTATTAACTTCTACCAAAACCATATAGTGTTCACGAAACATATTTCAACTACCACGAACCCTGCTTTATCATAAAAAATTTTAACCAACAATTTCAGCATAAAAATAAAATAAATCTTTAACAATATTTAAAACAGTGTATTTTGTTTGCCACCAGCTTAAGAGAAAAAATAAATCGTAAAATTTTTAAATATATTCAGCTACAAAAGTAAAACAGATGGTATACAATACAAACATGAAATTAAGGCATAGTTTGTAAATGTATATTTATCCTGTATAATAATTATTTTTTATGATGAAGAGGATATGTACTTAGAAATGTCAACAAATTACACATTTAATAAGGTAGCGCACATATATATANTAATCCACGACAATGTTCACATTACGTTTTAAAAATTACTATTTGCTTACCTTGGCCACAAAACAGACACACCTTGAAATTTGTCGCTTGGAGCACATTGAACTGATGTATGATTTATGTGTTCTAGAATTATTTGAAATTTTTAGTTTAGCTAAATAAACAGAACTTATGCTGGTGGATTTATTAGTATTAAGGTCTTCATCGGACATCATCCATGTTGATTTTAGCTCCAAATATTTTTTCAATCTGCGTTTCATAGTCATCAATGTTCCGTTTCATTAGTTCCATACAAGGTCCTAACAGACGTTCAAAAGCTTCCACATCCAGGACTAAAACAAACATATTTATAAATTCAATAGATTAATTTTTTATAAATATTTATTTGTAGCATGTTTCCTGACACCAGGGACAGCACTGCACCTGTAATACCCATTGTGCCACTCAGTATGAAAGGACACGGTTAGAAAGGAACAAAAGCTTGGTGTGGAACTTTTGAAACAGGGACTGTTCAGTTCATTGACAAAAGAAATATAAAGGTCGTTGTAGATAGTGAGTGAGCTTTGACAATTTATCTTATGACTTTTGATAGGTAGGATTGGATGTTGGGTTAGGTCAGGTAGGTTAAGGGGTGTGATTTGGTTTAGTTAGATTAGGAAGGATTAAGTGCAATTTAAGTTAGGTAGGGTAAGGTCTACTCACAAACTGGTTTTGCACTGTATCACCTTGCTGACGAGCTTTTACAGCTCAAAATCTGGATCAGTGCAAAACCAGTTTGTGAGTATTACTATTCATTTGCAAGGAAGGGTTAAGTAAGGTAGGGTAATGGACGGGCAAAGAGGTTATGGGGGGTATAGGGTAAAGGAAGTTAAGTATGGCAGGGTTATGGATGGGTTAAAGTAAGAGATGATTTAGGTTACACACTCATAACTCAATGTTTTTCCGTGAAGCGGAGATTTATGAAATCCTGTCTGAAGGGATCTACATCTCAGGTTGTTTTTGCTATTGAAATATCTGAGGCAAATTATATGCAAGCTTGGGAGGCCATCTTGAAAAGATACGTTAGAAATTGTACTAGGGCAATGAATCATTTCACACACCTTTTCAACTTCAAACCCATGATGAAACTTTAGAAAACTTTTCCGTAATTATTTTGGAAAATTGTAACATGCTCCAGAAAATACAACTTCTGGACTGTGCCGGGTTTGTGCTGTATTCTTACACTTTGCATCTCCTAGACTCCAAAACACGGAAAACATTTGAAAATGAGTTTGGTTGAAAGGAAAAACCCCTGACCTTTTCTGATTTCACTGACTTTATTCAGAGGCAGATATCGAACCTATAATCAAATGCCCTTGCCACTAGTTCGTCCACCATTTCTGGGGCAGAAATCAAAATACAAATATGTAGTTCAAATTTTGATTTTGATATATTTACATACATGCCTACTCACTCCTTTTTTAAAATAAAAAATCCCAACTATTAGCTATCCAAACCCCCCAGGAAATTTATGGACAATTTTTTTATATCAAATTTTCCCTCAGATCAGACTGCACAAATTTTAAACAGTGAAAAAAGAAAACGATATCACAAGTAAAAATTCTTGATAAATACAAAGTATAATAGTGATCTATCAAATGGTAAACAATTAATGCATCTTTCCAGTATTTTTAAAATAATTAAATAGAAAATAGTACAAAAGAAGTACTATTTTGTATTTAACTATTCTGCATGCCTCAGAAGTTATATCTTGAAAATATATATCAGTGCATTAATAAAGTCACTAACATTATATTCAGGTGTGCCCCAGGGCTCTCAATTAGAAACATTTCTCTTCATCCTTTATGTGAACAACTTCGAGATGGGTTTTTAAATTGACCTTATAGTAAGTAAAACAAAATGGCTATATAAAATAAGTAATTTATCAAGAAGCATCCCAAAATTGATTCTAAAATAGTTAATTTATAATCCAAAATGTACTAAAAATAAATACGGCAGGTGTATAGTAGGAAAGTAATTAGATACATAACAAAGTGTGTCACAGTAAATCAATCTTATGTTAATTTGACTAAAGTAAACGTAGAAAATAAAGATATTAAATAGAGTGGGTAAACATCATTAATAATTCTGCAATTATACACAAGCATACTCATAATTTTCTCTTTCAGAAGTACATGTACAAAGTGTTTTTATTAAAGAAAAGTTATTAAGAAGGCAAAAAACAACTTTTACTTACAAGCAACTTTTACATGACCTATAGCATAAGCTGAAGCTGCTCTAGGCCTATGGGTAACTAATGCCAATTCTCCAAAGTAATCACCTTTCTCTATGGTTTTAATCTAAAATACAAATAATACATAAATGAACTGGTAAATTGTAATGGAAATTACAAGCAGGGCCCTTTGTTTATGACCAGGCAACCACTCATTTTATTGACTTCTCAATGATATAATCATTGACAACTTTTTAAGTAGGTGGGTAAATTGTAACAATCATCACTTTTGTAAGTTCTTATTTTTTACATATTTTTATATATTTAAGACTATTCCTGTGCTATGTCAGATGTAATACAACTTATAAAAAAAAATCATTCCTACTAATCTGATACAGTGATTCCAATTTTGACTTATGGCAGGCAATAGCCCCCCACTCTTGAAATTAATAAGTAAAAACATATATTTTCAGAAGAAAAAAAATATTTCTGGAAAATATTGCCATATGAATCTATCACAAATAGGATCTGACTTAATTCACTTTATTTGAGTTTTATTGCAATAATACAGTAGTCAACTTACTGGTACTTCTTTGTTATTTTCACCGAGCATAGATATCTGTGCTTTCCCATCCTCAACGAAATACATCCCATCAGCTGCATCGTACTGACGAATTATACATTCACCATCATTGTAAGATTTGGGGATAAGAGCATCAGCAAGGTTCATTCTTTCATAAGGCTAAAGAAAATGAAAAAAAAATCAGTAGGTATAAAATAGTCCATTAATTTATCAGCAATGTTAATTCAAAAATGAAACAATTTATTTTTAAGAAAATTGTATTTGTGCACATCAAAATAAATTCTGTCCAGGATCCAAGATGTAGAATAGATGATTTTCCTTAGAATTTAAATTATGGACAAATGGGTTATGAATTGAAAAATGAACTTTATCCCGGGTATTAAAGTCCCTGTGAATAATTAAATATGAACACAAACGTATTTAAAAAGATTCAAGTCTGATAAAGATACACAAAGATGTTCATTTACATTAACATATACATACAAAATGAAAACACGTAAAAAGGGACAAGAAAGAATCTTCGATGCTAAGTTGAAAGGCCAAGGGGTATTCAAAGGTTTAAAGATGGAAAATATTGGGTTAGGTAGGGTTGTTTACGCCAAAGTAAGTGGTGTAAAGGTTCATGTTTCAATTGAAATGCAGTCATTAAAAATCAGTTATGATGGAGTGAGTGTTTAAATTCATTTATAGAGATTTAATTCAATATTAAAAAGGATGGTTCTACTCACAAATTGTAGGTTAAGTAGGGTAAGTTTTATGGTTAGGTTAGGCTGTGATCAAACAAGTTAGGCAGGGTGAGGGGAGGTTATTAAAAACCGGTGAGGAGTGAGTACTTCAATTCAATAATTGCAAAGGATGGTTCTACTCAAAAACTCTAGGTTTTTTGAGCTAGAGTTATGGTTTGGCTAGGTTAGGGTTTAATAAGTAGGCAGGGTAAGGAGAGATTTAATTTAGGTAGTTATTTTTAAAAAAATGGTTATAATGGACTGATTACATCAATTCAATAATTGAAAAGAATACTTCTACATACAAATTGTAGAAATGATAAATGTTATACTAGCTACAAATTTAGGTTAGGTAGGGTAAGGGTTGTTTATGGTTAGGTTAGGTTTTGTAAGGTAAGGATTGTGGTCATGTTAGGTAGGGTTAGGGGGTGGGTTTAATTTATTTATGGTAATTAAAAACTGGTGATAGAGTGAGTATATCAATTCAATAATTGAAAAGGATGGTTCCACTCACAAACTGTAGTTTGGTAGAGTAAGGGTTATGGTAACGTTAGGTAGGGTTAGGGGTGGTTTAAGTTAGGCAGGGTAAGGGGAGATTTAATTCAGATAGGGTTATTTTAAAAAAATGGTTATAATGGACTGGGTATATCAATTCAATAATAGAAAAGGATGGTTCTACTCACTACTGGTTTTGCAGTTATCAGACTTTGAACCGCAATCCCACATTGTCAAACTATGCAAGTTATGTGCTATCTAGATACTTTGGTAGTGCGATGATGAGCTATTACAGCCCAAAATCCGCATCACAGCAAGACCAATTGGTGTAGTAGAACCATCCTTTTCACTATTGGGTTAAAAAAATACCATATGATGAGGAAAGAATGACTGAACGCAGTTAGTTCTGTATTTAGGGGGGACAGAGTCCAGAAGGTTGGAAGCCAATTTAAAGGAACTGTAGGACTGTATAAATGATCTGATAGTAGGAAGATCATATATGTAGGGAGGGACCACTTCAAGTCAATGTACAGATCACTCACCTGGGACCTCCTTTGGAAGCAGAAGATAAAATGTACTAACGATTCACCAAACAATTAAGCTTATCTTCATGCTAATTCACTGAGTCCCTTGTACACAACATATCCGTAATCAAAATGGAGGGTGAATCACAGAAGCAACTAGGGAGCTTATGGGTACTAACACAGAGAAGATGGCTGGCATGACAAAATGATGAAGGAAAAGCAATGGCAGGGAAATTGGGGGATTCCTGGGCAACCAGGTTAACCCTAAGCTACTTGACAGCGGAGCAGAAGGATCAGGGATTTTTCTATGTTCAAGAAGCTTATTTCCAGCAGCCAATCAAGTTTAAACCCTCCTGAATCGTAAAATTAAATTTTGTAATTGGAAAGCCAGACATTCAGCCCATTTTGAACATTCAGTTTTAAATGGTCTGAACATTTTCAGTTTTTTTTTTTTTTACTATTATTTTATTGATTTATTTTTTGTATATATTTGGCTCACCTGCAAGGTTTTCAACATTGGCACGCAGTCAATAAGAGCTTCATACATTTTCCTCTTCTTAAAAGCGCTTTTGAGTACAATCCTACGGAAGGTCTGTCTATCCATAGCCCACAGTGAACCTTCAGAAGCAGCCACAATAGTGGCGGCTCGAGGCATATTATATAGTAAAGCTAATTCTCCAAAACTTCCACTGTTATTGTATGTATGGATCAGTTTATCTTGATTGCCTTCCCCTTTGACGAATGCTTGGTATGTTCCGCTGAAAAATACAGTGTAAATATTTTAAATTTTTTATATGCAACTGTGAAAATTTTTAATTAATAAAGGCTCACAGAATATGCACAAATAATAAAATGCATTATATTTAATGAGCCAAGACTGATTCTCACTGCAAGTTTAATATAAAAAAAAATCAATGAATATTATTGTAGTATTATAAATAAATTACCTCTCAATAACATAAAAATTGTCTCCATCATCTCCTTGTTTGATGACGACATCATCTTTTTTTACAGTTTTTTCAAACATTGCGTCTAAAACTTCATTCATTTGTTCCTAAAATAGACACAAAATAAATTGTTTCAATTTTTAAAGTGTAGCAACAATTAAATCTCGATTAATAATATAGACATTCAACATTTTCTACCTGATCGAGCGATCTGAAAAGGAGTATATTGCGCACATTTTCTGCTAAACGCTGTCGCTGCTCATCAGATTTAGGATAAATTTGGGGCTGGAATGATACACATGAATTATACATCAATCAACTATTTAACGTGTAAATTTGGGGGAAAAATATATATATATTTACAGCTGCTCCATCGTCGTCGTCGTCCTCAGGATCATAAGCTTCAGCAAACACCGATTTTCTTCTGGAATTGAATTTTTTTGGAGGCAAATCATCTATAAAAAAAATAAAATAAAATAAATTAATTAATTAATTAAAAAATAACTTTAATTTGGGAGGGATTATCATTTTGAGATTAATACATACAATCTTTATGGAATATGTGGGATGTTAAGCATTTTCATTCTCAATGTTTACTTTTGCTAACCTTCAACCTCCCAACTAGCTTGGATCTAACCTTCAGAAAAGAGATATTTCCTGGCTGGTAAAGTATGCCAAGGCATCTTCCAAATGTAATTAATGCAAAAAAAAAGTAGCACAATAGAAAGGTAAAAATCTAATTAAGAAAACCATCCCTAGCTCTAACTTAAACCCTACAACTTACCCTAACCTAAACCGTCCTTAACATTAAACCTAACCTAACCAAACCATGTGGATGTTCGCATAGTCCGAACATTTCTGAAAAAGAACAATAGTAGTGTTTTAGCCTCCTGACTTAACACCCATCAAACATGTATAGGATATACTCAAGACAGGTAAGAGCTTCTTATGCCACATTTCTTGATACCTTCAGAATCATGAAATGCCTCTTATAGAAGAAATGGGCTAACCTCCAGCAAACAAACTTCCCAGCTAGTAGAAAGTATTCCACGGCAACTTCCAGATGTAATTAATTCATAAGGAGCAAATATATGATAATAGAAAACGAAAAATATATTTAAACAACCCTACCTGACTCCAACTCTAACCCTAATTAACATAACCTAACTGTCCCTAAAACCCATCTTACCCTAACCTAAAGTTAACCAATCCTTAACACTAACCCAACTAACCTAAAAGCACTCATATCAAAACTCAAACCTACCTAACCAAATCCAAAACCACACCAGACACTATCATTATCTAACCTAACATAACCCTCCCTAACTCTAATCTAACTTAACCTAATTATTTCATAAACCTAATCCATCCCTAACAGTAACCATAATCTAACCATCCCCAATCTAAAAAAAACCTGTTCTTATTGCTAACCTAACTTGACACATTCATAAACCTAAATGCAAGTAAATTAATATACCCCATTCCTACACTAACCATAAACTAAGCCTAAACATAACTCTACCTAACGTTACTCATACCTAACACTAACCATAATCGAAACTAACATAATCTAATCTCTCACTTAACTTAACCCATCCCTAACATTAACCATAATTTAACCTAATCTGTCCCAACACTATAACACTAACAAGAAAGTGACACGATCTTTAATGCAGAAGAATAGCAGGGAAGAACTGGGGATGCAGACCAGAAACCCTGCTCTGGATGGTGAGACCTATCCTCACATACGGCACAACAGCCTGGGCCGATAAAGAACAGAAACGAAACAGAAAGCAATGAAAGCATGGTGATAGCTGCAAACATTTATGCGTTGACGCAGGGAAAGGTTTTGAAACCTGACATACTTAAAAATGGGATTTTTTTTTTCAAAAACACCGGCATCCCGAGGATTCGTACAACCTCTTACCTGAAATACAATTGTAAAATAATAATAAAAATAAACATCACCCTCTGCTGGGTTCCAGGCTACGTGGGAGTAGAGACGAGAGAGCAAATACCCTTGCAAGGAAAGGGGCCGCTATACCGCTGATAGGACCTGAGCCCTTTTGTGGCAGGAATTCACACTATAAATCATTACCTTATACAATAGGACAAACTGAGGAAAAGTGGGATTCACTTATTGGAACCACTTATGGGAACAACCCAAGAACCTTCTAACACACTTTGAAAGAAAAGATACAACAGAATTCATCAAAGGAAGAAGGAAAAACTGTGAATCCTATCAGGATTATTAAAAGGACACACAAACTGTATGGGCATCTGAAGAAGGTGGGTATAATCCAACAAGGGACGTGCAGTTTCTGAAAAGAAGCAGAGGAAACACAACACACCTACTAACAAACTGTGATACCACATTTTCCGACAGAGGAAAGTGTTTTGGGATGTCAATATAACTGTAGAAGAAATTTAACCACTGAGACTGGGCCTACTAATCAAGTTCCTTGATGAACTAGGACTCACTGATGTGCTATACATACAGAACGGGAGATACAGCAACTCTTAACAAGCACAATGTACTATACACCCTGACTAATACATCTAATCTGACCTAAACCATTGCTAATGCTAACAACCCTACCTAAACTAACCCATCTCAAACACTACTCTAATGATAATCTGAACTAACATAACCTAACCCATCTGTAACACTAACCATAATCTAACCTAAACCGTTTCTAATGCTAACCCTACTTAACCTAATCCATCTCAAACACTACACTAACACTAACCATAATCTACCATTAACTTAACGCAACCTATCCCAAACACTAACCATAATCTAACCTAAGCTGCTCTCCCGCTAACCCTACCTAACCTAACCCATCCCAAACACTACACTAACCATAACCTAACTCTCACCTAGCATAACCCAACCCAAACTATAATCCGACCTAATCTATTCCAAATTCTAACGCAACCTATACTTGACCCATCCCTATTTCTACCTTACTTTAACCTAACATAATCCATCCCTAACCCTTCCAAAACGAACTTAACCCAACCAAGAAAGTACATGTCACAAATAATCATTTCTACCTTAAATTGATTTAATAAAACTTTGAAATAAGATAAATAATGAAATTATCACTCCGAAAAATTTATCTGATGAAATATAGAATATTAAAAACCTTGTAAATGTGGAAAAATATAAAAGTCACTTTCGAGTTTGAAAAAATCCAGAAATTTACCAATCTATCCTATACTGGTTACTGGCACACTGGTTAATGTGAAATACATAAGGAACAAATATATAGGTAGTATATAATAAATGAATAAACATATGAAACTTTTTTGGACTATTCAGACATTGTGAGCAAATTGTCTGAGTGATGCATTTGGAAATAATTCACAGGCGAATTATAAAGTACTAAAATTAGGGTCTGTCATTTTCAAGTAATTCAAAGTTCAAATAATCGTGTTAAGCTCCAGTGAAGTGTTTCTTGGGGTTTATATAACTTCATTAATTAGTTGTAACTACACGTAATTCGCGGCGAGGGTTATTGGAGGATATTCAAATTTAAGAAAAGATGTGTAGTCTAGAGCATTGATTACATAACTTGTACCTCGAACAAAACCTGTCGTATTTCTTCTCTGACAAATACAACTCCAGTTTTGGTTCGAAAACAAAACGCAAAAACTTTACTTCAAATCGGGAAAACTCGTCAATTAAAGATTGTTTTGTTGAATAATTAATAGAGGGGGGGTTATTGAATGAAAACCGTATTAAGTGGTGATGAGGTCTCGGGACATGCGTTAAACACTCTTTTCCCCAGTACCAATTTATTGAATTATCTGTTTTATAGTTATTGTTGTATTTATATTATAATCGAATACATTGAAATGTTTTCTTTTTATATAAAAAAATCTGATTTGGATAATTTATTATAAAATTTGAACACTGAAATCAACAAAATACAGAATTATTATTTTTTTACGACGTAATATGCACCCTCGGTGAAAACAAATCAGTTTGTAAATATGTCGGGTTCGAATCCAGCTGCCCCCGACCCCGGGACTTTTACCTTCGCCGTGTCAACGCCTAAACCGTAGCGGAAACCGACCCCCCCCCACAGAATTATTTAGAATGTTACTTTAAAAATATTAATTTGTCTGAATTTGGCTATTTTCTTTGTTTTGTGTTTTCTTTTAGCTGATTTTCTTCTGTTGCGTTCTTCTAAATGTTCATATTTGATACAATCAAGGCCAATTTTAACGAAAAGCTCTAGAAGGCGTATGCAGTTCGAACAGTTAAGTGGTCCTCATTTTAAAAAGAGAGAGGGAAAAAACTGGTACTGATTAAATCCTAACATAAGTAGTTGAAGGATGTTGCAACGAATCTAACCCACAAGGCCAATCTGCCTACACGTCGGCTCGTACACATTGAAATTTACGTTTGAATTGTCGCTGTTGGCGGAAATACAATTTTGGATTTAGGGCGACATCGTCTTGATTGTTTTTTCCGTAGAATCAGGGGGTAAAAAGAAAAAAAGAGGCAATAACTTAAAAATCGTCTATTTTTATGATTGCATAAAATATCGTAAAAATAACAAGTGTTTGCTGTTTTCCATTTGGCGAATGCTATATTTTTAGGGCATCCTAGCCTGAGACTGTAGAAGTGAACTCCTGTTTAATTGTATAAACCTATCATAATTCCAAACTTCTTGTGTGTTTAATAAAAACAATAAATTATTACATTAATAAAATGAAAAAAGACTGAAAAACACCTAAAACCATTCAAATCGGGTTATTTTTAGCTCCACTTACCTTATCCTACATAACCTAACTCTTCAATTACCTAACCCACCCTAAAAGTAACCGTAATTTAACCTAACCCGTCCTCTAACCTACCTTAACTCATCCCAAAACCTAACCCTAAGTAACTATCCCTATATATAGGTATAAAGTATATACCTATCCCTCAAAATAACCATAATCAAAACCAAAACCATCCCTAAATCTAACCCTATATAGCCTAACGTAACTCATACCTAAGCCTACGTAATTTTATTTAACCTATCCCCATATCTATCACAATCTAACCTAACACATCCTTAACATTAGCCTAATACATTCCTAAACATAAACCTATCTAACCAAACACATCACAAACATTACACTAACAATAATCTAAACTTACATACCAAACCCTCACCTAACGTAACCCATCCCCACGTTACAAAAAAGGAGGAAATAATTGGAAAGTCAATTTTTTTATGATTTCGTAAAATATCGTCAAAATAACAAGCATTTGCTATTTTCCATTTGGGCAAATGCTGAATCTTCTGGGCATCTATGCCTGAAACATGTAGAAGCTAAGTTCTGTTTGATTTTGTTAACCTACTAGAATCCCCAATTTCTCGTGGGTTTAATAAAAACAAATTATTACATTGATAAAATGAAAAAGACTGAAAGAACGCCCAAAAACATTCAAATC